ACAATCACGCCATGGATCAAGCTAACTCGAATCCACTCTGAATTTATCTGTATGTGTGTCGATCTCGATTATTTTTGTTATCCAATTAAACGCCGCTTTTAACGCACTTGCCCTCGTCGTGACCCGACGCGTTCACCTATTTCAACAAAATTTCAATTTATTTCCACGCGGCTGTCATTTGTTTAGTAACTGTGATTTGTCATTTTTTAATTATTTTATAGTGATCACTATAGTCTATGTTTAGAATGTCAAAATATGTTCTCTTTTATTTTAATTTTGAAAGTTTTACTCAGACGATCGATAAAATAAAACAGTGTAGTGACGTGCCTAGTAACCTATTTTGTCCAGCAACTGAGTACAAACGTGTGCCGGTGACGATCACAGTGACCAGCTACACCAGAACGGACATATTTCGCATCTAACTCAACCCCATGCAACAAAAATTGATACTATGTGTTCATTATGGCTCATTCCTCTTCGACGAACAAGTACATAAGTGAAAATTTTGTCAAAGACGAAAAAACTGCACAAGAAATTTGCCTTATTTACACGTATGGCATTGCAAGCTGCCATGCGACTTCCCCTTCTGACGTCACAAGGGGAATTTCTGTATGCAAATAAGAAGCTAATGAGGAGCCTCGTTTTAAAATACACAAAAATAAAGTTGCCGTAGATTGAGTTGAAAACACATTTTTTCACTGAAAAAAATAATTCATGCTTAGAAACATAAAAATTAATAATATTTATGTATCAATGGATAATTTTAGGCGTGAAAATAGCAGCCATTTCACAGGCACTTTAAGAAATCAAGATAGATACAAACTGTTTATTATACTGGTCACAACTCAACATTAACAGCAGCCAAGACGCACAGACTACCAACTTTTGTACTGGAGTTATCATTTTTCAAAATGTGTAGCAATTAACTGGACTAATATGGACATTTTCTCCAAAAATACATTGATTTTACATTACCCTGAATGTGTATGAAGCTACAAATTGAGCAATTTATTTATGTTCACACTTTCTTGCATTGCTGTACCTACCTAAACGTGATGGACTACCCAACATCACACTACAAGAACCAACTGCTAAACGGTACCCTAGCAGGCATCAAAAACTGTTTTGTTTTTTTAATTTTGAGTCCTACTAGTGATTATCTGACTGAGAATATAATTAAAATAAATACAATGTCATGTACTAATCTTGAGCTTTTTTATAGAATAATATAACATGAATTGCTTAAATATTGCCAAATAGTACAGCAATATACCTAAACAAAATTTTTGCAAAAAAAATACATTAGTAATAATGGATAAAAGCATTTCCAGTTACTGCAGTAATCTAAAGTACCAGATTTTGGACAGTGTAATACTGACAACTGATTCTTAAGAACAGCATTGTAAATGATTTTCTGCATATGTAAGAGTATGTCAAAGAACTGTTTTATTTTAGCCAAATTGTCATGCATATATTGAAAATTAGACATGCTAGTCAAAGAAAAAATAAACTTGGTTAATAATTTATATTGATTGGTATGATGTGCAAGTTTGAAAATTATCAGATAAATATTGTTTGACTTATTGTAATCACGAGAAGACAATTTTAAGTTACATTTTCGTAAAATATCTTCAATACTAAACAAGCGAATCATACCGTAATTGAACTTGGGCAAGATTTCATACACAATAAATAATATGATATCAATTGCGTAAGAATTGTACGAGTTATTGTAACCACAAGAAACAGACTCAATAACGTTCGCGCCAACGTCAAAACAATGATGAAACAGAATTTTTCCTCACAACTTTTCTCTTCATTAACATTACAAGCAAGCTGGAAATGGTAACAACACTTATTCTCAGGACAAGCTACATCACAGAACATTCAACGTTGCTAAGACGCACACTACTGTACCATGTATTTCTATGGGCTCTGTGCGAGCTTCTGTGAAAAGCCGGTAAAACCAGCTAAAGTCAAGGAAACATCATGAACTCAACTTTATAGTTATAGCCATAGGTTTCAGCATCACCAAATCACACACAGGATTATACCGATAAAACCAATATTCAAAGCATTTTCTATTAAAAATTAATCTCCCGAGTTACTTGTGTAGTCATAGGGTACCTCCTTTTCAAATTGCAACTAGGTAAACATCAACCATTATGTATATGCTATCTTAGTTTTGTTTAACATATACACATAGCATAATTCAAACAGTGATGCGTGACAGGATTTATTATAATGAAGACAACTAATAACACTCGATAAATAAGCACTAAAAATTTCAGTGATTTTTGGCAAAGGTAGTCCAAAATTGAAAAAGGTTTTAACTAAACTTTGTTGACAATACAATCTAAAGAAGACATATACTTCAATCCCAGGTTCTACCCTTGCAAAAGCCTTAGGACCCTGAATTATTAAATATAAAAGTCAACATACTTTGTCTCTTCCTGCTTCTTTGGTAACTCTTCTAATTTCTTGTCAAGTGCCTGCAGAACAGAGTACACATGTACTATGATTAGTCAGGTATCAGTTGAGAAGTGAACAATATATGTATCTCATCTCGCAAGAAAACAAGGAACCTAGTAAAGACTATGCCTTTACGAATGCCACTCCACCTAAGCCTAGACAATATGGTTACAAACAGTAGTACCGGTACATCACTGGTATGAGGTGATTGGTTGCTATGACGCTCTCAAATGAAACGAGAGAGAAAATATCATTCTGATAATGAGTTAATTGGTGCATCCAGTACAGACACATTGCATGTGTGAAAAATGGGTCAATCCCAAATTAACAAAGATGGTGACTTTGATTGTTGCAAAGACCAATGTGCAAAACATTACCAAGGTTTACTACATACGTAGTATTTGGACACCAATACAGAGTGTTAGCAGGCAAATTTGTTAATCAGTTAGCAGTGTTGCTTTTCAGACATTGACTATGGCGTTGATGAGGTTGTTTGCGAGCATGACAAATCAGTGCATCAATAAGATTTAATTACCGGGGTATATACCAAATAGTGGACTTTACGTTATGGATTACTGTGGAATACTTTATTTTTGCTGAAAAGGCTTTCTGTGCGTTTTGTGTGAAATTTATTTTCACTGATTTTTGATGAGTTTAATGTGAAATATAGGGAAAAAAAGTATATTCGCTGGATTTTATTTTCATGGAATCATCCCTTCAGCGAAAATAGCGAAAATAAATTCCAAGCGAAAATAAAGTATTCTACAGTATATACAGTATCTCTTCCATTGATCGGCAATCATTTGTGGATAAGATTATGTATCATGTTTTTCATTTCTAACTAAGAAGGCATTGTGTATAAATTCGACTACAGATTTGATAATATTTTTATCTCTGCTTTGCAATAAATAAATGAATTTTTGGAGATTGGTTTGTATTTTAATGAGAAACCTTACTGTTGACAAATATTTTCGAAGTGATATTTGGGCATATGAATGAATGTAAATATTACCAACTCGTGTAATAACATGGGCTGTAAGAAACACTTCGTTAACAGCCATCTTTGTGAAATAAAATAGTGCCAGGCGCATTCATACGGCTGATCACAACTCATTGATTTGGTGTGGATGAAAGTCAAAGTTACGTCACGGTTACTAGAAGAACGGTTAGGAAACTCTATTGTTAGATATGCTAATTACCATTGACTTCAATTTGGTGCGCGTCCAACCACTCTTACGTCATCGCTTGCGTTTTATGCACGGCGTCCATATTGCTGACTTGCTATTGCATTTCCTGTGTGTCAACTAAATTGAAGAAATAAAACTCACTAAGCCGAAAAACCGTCGTAAAAACATCACCGACTCCTGTGCGACTGTCGTGTGATATTCAAGGTGAGCTTTTATTTTGTTGTTTTCGAAAAAAAAATGAAAATACGGATAGTTTGTTTTGTTGACAGATTTGCCGTCTGCGAATCGTAATTGACCTTGGCATTTTGTACCCCTGAAACTCTGTCTGTAAATGTTCAAAAATGTTTGTATTCGTTACTACGTTAATGTTT